AGTCCTCCCCAGCACATGGTCCTCCCCAGCACATAGTCCTCCCCAGCACAAGTCCTCCCCAGCACATGGTCCTCCCCAGCAGCTGGCGGGGAGGAGGAACATTTGACATGGAAATCTGGGGGCAGCTGAGTGTGGATTACTGGACAGTGGAGGGGCGTGGGGACTCACACGTCAGGCGTGGGGACTCACACGTCAGGCGTGGGGACTCACGTCAGGCGTGGGGACTCACTCAGGCGTGGGGCTCACACGTCAGGCGTGGGGACTCACACGTCAGGCGTGGGGACTCACACGTCAGGCGTGGGGACTCACACGTCGGGCGTGGGGACTCACACATCAGGCGTGGGGACTCACACGTCGGGCGTGGGGACTCACACGTCAGGCGTGGGGACTCACACGTCGGGCGTGGGGGACTCACACATCAGGCGTGGGGACTCACACGTCGGGCGTGGGGCTCACACATCAGGCGTGGGGACTCACACGTCGGGCGTGGGGACTCACACGGGGCGTGGGGACTCACACGTCAGGCGTGGGGACTCACACGTGGCGTCACGTCGGGCGTGGGTCACACGTCAGGCGTGGGGACTCACACGTCAGGCGTGGGGACTCACACGTCAGGCGTGAGACTCCCGTCGGGCGTGGGGACTCACACATCAGGGTGGGGAGACTCACACGTCGGGCGTGGGGACTCCACGTCAGGCGTGGGGACTCACGTCGGGCGTGGGGACTCACACGTCAGGCGTGGGGACTCACCGTCGGGCGTGGGGACTCACGTCAGGCGTGGGGCTCACGTCGGGCGTGAGGACTCCCTCGAGCGTGGGGACTCACACGTCAGGCGTGGGGACTCACGTCAGGCGTGGGGACTCACTCAGGGGTGGGGACTTACGTCAGGCGTGGGGACTCACGTCGGGCGTGGAGGACTACGTCGAGCGTGGGGACTCACACGTCGGCGTGGGGACTCACGTCAGGGCGTGGGGACTCACGTCAGGCGTGGGGACTCACACGTCAGGCGTGGGGACTCACACGTCAGGCGTGGGGACTCACACGTCGGGCGTGAGGACTCACGTCGAGCGTGGGGACTCACACGTCAGGCGTGGGGACTCCACGTCAGGCGTGGGGACTCATACCGTCGGGCGTGGGGACTCACGTCAGGCGTGGGACTCACACGTCGAGCGTGGGGACTCACACGTCAGGCGTGGGGACTCACGTCAGGCGTGGGGACTCACATGTCGGGCGTGGGGACTCACATGTCGGGCGTGGGGACTCACACGTCGGGCGTGGGGACTCCATGTCGGGCGTGGGGACTCACATGTCGGGCGTGAGGACTCACACGTCGGGCGTGGGGACTCACATGTCGGGCGTGAGGACTCTCACGTCGGGCGTGGGGACTCACACGTCGGGCGTGAGGACTCACGTCGGGCGTGGAGACTCACATCTGGCGTGGGGACTCACATGTCGGGGTTGGGGACTCACACGTCGGGCGTGGGGACTTACGTCAGGCGTGGGGACTCACACGTCAGGCGTGGGGACTCCACGTCAGGCGTGGGGACTCCACGTCAGGCGTGGGACTCACGTCAGGCGTGGGGACTCCACGCAGCGGGGACTCGTCGGGCATGGGGATTCACACGTCAGGCGTGGGGACTCACCGTCGGGCGTGAGGATCCTCACGTCGAGCGTGGGGACTCACACGTCAGGCGTGGGGACTCACGTCAGGCGGGACTCACACGTCAGGCGTGGGTACTCACGTCGGGCGTGAGGACTCACGTCGAGCGTGGGGACTCACACGTCAGGCGTGGGGACTCACGTCAGGCGTGGGGACTCACGTCAGGCGTGGGGACTCACGTCAGGCGTGGGTGCTCACACGTCGGGCGTGAGGACTCACATCGGCGTGGGGACTCCGTCGGCGTGGGACACGTCGAGCGGGGACTCACACGTCGAGCGTGGGGACTCACACGTCAGGCGTGGGGACTCACGTCAGGCGTGGGGACTCACACGTCAGGCGTGGGGACTCCACGTCGGGCGTGAGGACTCACACGTCGAGCGTGGGGACTCACAAGTCGGGCGTGAGGACTCAACGTCGGGGCGTGGGGACTCACCGTCGGGCGTGGGGACTCACGTCTGGGGTGGGGACTCACGTCAGGCGTGGGGACTTACACGTCGGGCGTGGGGACTCTACGTCGGGCGTGGGGACTCACACGTCGAGTGTGGTAGGGACTCACGTCGGGCGGGACTCCGTCGGCGGGGACCACGTCGGGCGTGGGGACTCATCGGGCGTGGACTCACACGTCGGGCGTGGGGACTCACACGTCGGCGTGGGACTCACGTCGGCGTGGGGACTCCACGTCAGGCGTGGGGACTCACACGTCGGCGGGGACCAGTCGTGTGGTGAGGACTCACGTCGGGCGTGGGACTCGCGTGGGCGTGGGGACTCACGTCGGGCGTGGGGACTCCACGTCGGGGTGGGGACTCACACGTCGGGTGAGGACTCACGTCGGGCGTGGGGACTCACACGTCAGGCGTGGGGACTCACACGTCAGGCGTGGGGACTCACATGTCGGGCGTGGGGACTCACACTTTGGGCGTGAGGACTCTCACGTCGAGCGTGGGGACTCACACGTCAGGCGTGGGGACTCACACGTCAGGCGTGGGGATTCACGTCAGGCGTGGGGACTCCACACGTCAGGCGTGGGGACTCACGTCGGGCGTGAGGACTCACGTCGGCGTGGGGACTCACGTCAGGCGTGGGGACTCACACGTCGACGTGGGGACTCACACGTCGAGCGTGGGACTCCACGTCGGCATGGGGATTCACACGTCAGGCGTGGGGACTCACACGTCGGGCGTGAGGACTCAACGTCGATCGTGGGACTCACACGTCAGCGTGGGGACTCGTCAGGCGTGGGGACTCACCAGGCGTGGTACTCACACGTCGGGCGTGAGGACTCACACGTCGAGCGTGAGGACTCACGTCAGGCGTGGGGACTCACACGTCAGGCGTGGGGACTCACGTCGGCGTGGGGACTCACGTCAGGCGTGGGGCTCACACGTCGGGCGTGAGGACTCATCGTCGGCGTGGGGACTCACAGTCAGGCGTGGGGACTCACACGTCGAGCGTGGGGACTACACGTCAGGCGTGGGGTCACGTCAGGGGTGGGGACTCCACGTCGGGCGTGGGGACTCACACGTCAGGCGTGGGGACTCACACGTCAGGCGTGGGGACTCACGTCGAGCGTGGGGACTCCAAGTCGGGCGTGAGGACTCCCGTCGGGCGTGGACTCACGTCGGCGTGGGGACTCACGTCTGGGGTGGGGACTCACACGTCGGGCGGGGACTTACGTGGGCGTGGGGACTCACGTCGGGCGTGGGGACTCACGTCAGGTGGTGGACTCCACGTCGGGCGTGAGGACTCGCACGTCGGGCGTGGGGACTCCCACGTCGGGCGTGGGGACTCACGTCGGGTGGGTACCACACGTCGGGCGTGGGGACTCACACGTCAGGCGTGGGGACTCACACGTCGGGCGTGGGACTCACGTCAGGCGGACTCGTCAGGCGTGGGGACTCGTCGAGTGGTGGGACTCACACGTCGGTGAGGACTGCCGTCGGCGTGGGGATACACGTCGGGCGTGGGGACTCACGTCGGGCGTGGGGACTCACACGTCAGGCGTGGGACTCACGTCGGGCGTGGGGACTCACACGTCAGGCGTGGGGACTCACGTCAGGCGTGGGGACTCACATGTCGGGCGTGGGGACTCACACTTTGGGCGTGAGGACTCTCACGTCGAGCGTGGGGACTCACACGTCAGGCGTGGGGACTCACACGTCAGGCGTGGGGTTCACGACGGGCGTGGGACTCACGTTAGGCGTGGGGACTCACACGTCGGGCGTGAGACTCACACGTCGAGCGTGGGGACTCACGTCAGGCGTGGGGACTCACGTCAGACGTGGGGACTCACACGTCGAGCGTGGGGACCCACGTCGAGCGTGGGACCACGTCGGGCGGGACTACGTGGACTCTCGGCGTGGGACTCCCACGTCGGCGTGAGGACTCCACGTCGGGCGTGAGGACTCACGTCGAGCGTGGGGACTCACACGTCGGGCGTGGACTCCCACGTCGGGCGTGGGGACTCACACGTCGAGCGTGGGGACTCACACGTCGGGCGTGGGGACTCACATGTCGGGCGTGGGGACTCACTTGTCGAACGTGGAGACTAACACGTCGAGCGTGGGGACTCACACGTCGGGCGTGAGGACTCGCACGTCGGGCGTGGGGACTCACACGTAGGGCGTGGGTGCTCACGCGTAGGGCGTGGGGACTCACTTGTCGAACGTGGGTTAACACGTCGGGTGTGGGGACACACTCGTCGGGCGTGGGGACTCACTCGTCGGGCGTGGGGACTCACACGTCGGCGTGGGGACTCACACCTCGGGGTTGGGGACTCACACGTCGGACGTGGGGATTAACACGTCGGGTGTGGGGACACTGTCGGTGGGGACTCACGTCAGGCGTGGGACTCACACGTCAGGCGTGGGGACTCACATGTCGGGCGTGGGGACTCACACGTCGGGCGTGGGGACTCTCACGTCGGGCGTGGGGACTCCACGTCAGGCATGGGGACTCACACGTCAGGCGTGGGGATTCACGTCAGGCGTGGGGACTCACGTCAGGCGTGGGGACTCACTCGTCGGGCGTGGGGACTCACGTCGGGCGTGGGGACTCCACACGTCGTGCGTGGGGACTCACACCTCGGGGTTGGGGACTCACCTCGGCGTGGAGACTCAACGTCGGACGTGGGGACTCACGTCGGGCGTGGAGACTCGCACGTCGGACGTGGAGACTCGCACGTCGGGCGTGGGGACTAACACGTAGGGCGTGGGGACTCACGTCGGGCGTGGGGACTCACACGTCGGGCGTGGGGACTCCACACGTCAGGCGTGGGGACTCACACGTCGGGCGTGGGGACTCACACGTCAGGCGTGGGACTCACGTCAGGCGTGGGGCTCACATGTCGGGCGTGGGGACTCACGTCGGGCGTGAGGACTCTTACGTCGAGCGTGGGGACTACACGTCAGGCGTGGGGACTCACACGTCAGGCGTGGGGACTCACACGTCAGGCGTGGGGACCACGTCAGGCGTGGAATTCTCGTCGGGCGTGGGGACTCCGTCGGGCGTGAGGACCTCACGTCGAGCGTGGGGACTCACGTCAGGCGTGGGGACTCACACGTCAGGCGTGGGGACTCACATGTCGGGCGTGGGAGGACTCACATGTCGGGCGTGGGGACTCCACACGTCGGGCGTGGGGACTCACATGTCGGGCGTGGGGACTCACATGTCGGGCGTGAGGACTCCACGTCAGGCGTGGGGCTCATGTCAGGGTGAGGACTCCGTCGGGCGTGGGGGACTCACGTCGGGCGTGAGGACTCTCACGTCGGGCGTGGGGACTCACACATCTGGCGTGGGGACTCACACGACGTCGGGGTTGGGGACTCACACGTCGGGCGTGGGGACTCACACGTCAGGCGTGGGGACTCACACGTCAGGCGTGGGGACTCATATGTCAGGCGTGGGGACTCACATGTCGGGCGTGGGGACTCACGTCGGGCGTGGGGACTCACATGTCGGTCGTGGGGGACTCACATGTCGGGCGTGGGGACTCACATGTCGGGCGTGGGGACTCACATGTCGGGCGTGGGGACTCACGTCGGGCGTGAGGACTCTCACGTCGGGCGTGGGGACTCACACATCTGGCGTGGGGACTCACACGTCGGGTTAGGGACTCACACGTCGGGCGTGGAGACTCAAACGTCGGACGTGGGGACTCACTCGTCGGGCGTGGGGACTCACATCTGGCGTGGGGACTCACACCTCGGGGTTGGGGACTCACACGTCGGGCGTGGAGACTCAAACGTCGGACGTGGGGACTCACACGTCGGGCGTGGAGACTCGCACGTCGGACGTGGAGACTCGCACGTCGGGCGTGTGGACTAACACGTAGGGCGTGGCGACTTACACGTCCCAGCTACCTTTTCCTAACTCACACACCCCTTTCGTCACTTACACACCCCCTTCGTCACTCACACACCCCTTCGTCACTCACACACCCCTTCGTCACCACACACCTTCCTCGTCACCACACCTTCGTCACTCACCTTCGTCACTCACACACCCCCTTCGTCACTCACACACCCTCCTCGCCACTCACACACCGCCAGCTAGGCCCTCTTGGGTAAGGTCACTTATGAAGGTGTTTAAAAGTAGTGTACATCAAGGCACAATTTTTGCTCTGGTAGATGATCGCTGGGCTTATCACATGAATATGCTAAATGCGCTTCAGATCCCCGCGAAGGAAAGAAAAAACAAAAATGAAAACTTACTTTACTTGAGAGAGTCCGTCCAAAAGAGAAAAATTCGGTCCGTGTTTTGAGTCCCCACCAATCCGGGGGCCGAGGTAATGATATGGTGATGACCCTCGCTACCGCCATCTCCAAACTCTTTATTCCTATGCCGAGGGGCTGCCAACTACAAGACTGGCCAGCCCTGTGTTAACCCTACCCCTCTCTCTCTCTCTCTCTCTCTCTCTCTCTCTCTCTCTCTCTCTCTCACGTCCACATTAGTTCATGTTACCCTTATCTTTCTCTCTCTTTTCATCCTTCACGCCCACACTAGTTACCTCTCTGCTCTCTCTCTCTCCACTCCTCCTCCACCTACCTCCACCTACCTCCTACCTCCCACCATGCCTGCGCCACCTCCACTTGACCGCCTCTCCCCCCCCCCACTGGATGACAGAGGAGAGGAGTGGGCCAGGGGTGATCTCTGCTCTTGGTACCTCCTTTGACACTGACCAGACAAGGCCAGTCAAGACCCCTCTCTCTCTCCCCCTCCTCGCTGCCTCCCACCTCCTTCAACCCTACCACCTCCAGCCTACTTCATCCAACCCACCTCCAGCCTACTTCATCCAACCCACCTCCAACCTACTTCTAACCACCTCCTTCTTCATCCAACCCACCTCCAGCCTACTTCATCCAACCCACCTCTCTCATCCACATCTCAAATAACCCACCTCCTCCACCCCCACCCATCCACCCACCTCCTAAGCTGACCTATTAGGTTAGGATAGGTTATGGGTTAGATTAGATTAGATTAGGTTAGGTTAGGTTTGGTTTAGTTGGGTTGGTTAGTTAGGATTAGGTTAGATTTAGGTTAGGTTAGGGTCCATTAAGATTGTAACTTATTTAAGCAGAACCAATTTCGTCGTCCCCCTTCCCCTCCACACACACACATACACACACACACACACACACACACACACACACACACACACACACACACACACACACACACACACACACCTGTCGAAATTAATAAACAATCCATGTTATCTCTCTCTCTCTCTCTCTCTCTCTCTTTTTTTTTTTTCTCTCTCTCTCTCTCTCTCTTGATGGATAGATCGAGAGAGCTAGGCTCAGGAAGTTAAAAGAATAGGGGGGGAGGGAGGAGGGAAGGAATGGACAGCCATGGAGGGAGGGAGGGAGCGTTAGGACCATGGAGGGGGGAGGGAGGGGTGTTACAGGACCATGGAGGGGAGGGAGTTCAGGACCATGGAGGGAGGAGGGGTGTTACAGGACCATGGAGGGAGGGAGGGGTGCAGGACCATGGAGGAGGGAGGGTGTTACAGGACAGAGGGGGAGGGAGGGTAGCCGTTCATCTGGCCGGGTTTGGATGCAAAGCAGGGGTGGCTGTTCCTGGCACTTATGGCCCACCAGGTCATCATCTACCAAGACTCCTTCTTCATCTTCTTCTTCGTCTTCGTCGTCTTGGTTTTCTTCTTCGTCTTCTTCGTCTTCTTATTCATCTTCTTCATCATCTTCTTCTTCTTCGTCTTCTTATTCATCTTCTTCATCATCTTCTTCTTCTTCGTCTTCTTCGTCTTCTTCATCATCTTCTTCATCATCTTCTTCTTCTTCATCTTCTTCGTCTTCTTATTCATCTTCTTCATCATCTTCTTCTTCTTCATCTTCTTCGTCTTCTTATTCATCTTCTTCATCATCTTCTTCTTCTTCATCTTCTTCGTCTTCTTATTCATCTTCTTCATCATCTTCTTCTTCTTCATCTTCTTCGTCTTCTTATTCATCTTCTTCATCATCTTCTTCTTCTTCATCTTCTTCGTCTCTTTTATTTCTTCTTCTTCCGCCATAGTCCACCTTATATAATGATATATTTTTCCACATTCCTTTGCCCTCGATATTCAATCACCACCCTACTGTGTGTGTGGGGGGCAGATGGAGGGGATGAAGTATTAGTGTAAGGTCAGGGGAAACTGAATCAGAATCTAGAGTCATCTTTATGTGGTGGACGGTGGTGTGGCGGGGTTGTCACATCACTAGGGAGAGGGAGGGAGGGAGGGGGGTCCTCTTTATCGTCTCATCGGACACTCCTCCTCACCTCAACGTCTGGTCTTTTGTTACACGTCTTTTCCGATGCTGATATTTAATACCTCTTTTCCCTCACTCTTATGTTAAATCTCCATATGGTTTGTGGTTCATTTGCTGCCCCATGTCCTCCTTGCTCATCCCGGTGCTTTACATCTGAGGTGTGACCTTCGGCAGGTGTCATGAGGGAGGTGAGTGGTTGTGGTGTGGCTAGGGATGGAGGGAGGGGACCTGGTTGTGGTGTGGCCAGGGAGGGGGAGGGGCATTGAGTGATGGGCAGCGGGTACAGGAAGGTGGAGCGGTGAGAGGAGTCGGTGTCCCCTGATGGGGCGGCTCATGAACGACTTACCGCCGGAGGGGACACTGAGGGAGGAAAGGAGGGGCTATGAAGGGCTGGCAGAATGGAGGGCCTGTGACTGAGTGGAGGAGGGACAAGGACCGCCCTCCACGCGACCCGTTTCCGTCAAATTCCCTCCTAAACTGCGCCCTAATCCATTTTGTGGCCCCTGGTCCTTAAGAGCGCGTTTGCATATTTTTCGGGGATGCCGCCCTCTACTGGTCCTCCTCGTATGTGTGTGTGTGTGTGTGTGTGTGTGTGTGTGTGTGTGTGTGTTGACATGTATATAAATATGTCCATGTATATATATATAAACTTTCCTCACTAACATCACGCTTCACCTCACAGTCACCATGCTTCCAGGTCATGCTTTAACTGTACACGTCACAGAAACATAAAATAATGTTGTTTTTTCTTTCTTTCTTTTCTTGCAGGTACGTATCCGATGGAGAGCGAGGTGTATGGGGAGTGGCAGCCACAACCTTCAAGTATGTACAGTACCTAGTGTGTTGTTCTTGTTGGGGTGAGGTGTTGGGAGGGGGTCTTGACCAGCTGGGTGAGGGGGTCTTGACCAGCTGGGTGAGGGGTCTGATCAGCTGGGTTGATGGGGTCTTGATCAGCTGGTTGGGATGGGGTCTGACCAGCTGGTTGGGAGGGCTCCTTGACCAGCTGGTTGGGAGGGGTCTTGACCAGCTGGTTGGGAGGGGTCTTGACCCACCTGGTTGGGAGGGAGTCTTGACCAGCTGGTTGGGAGGGGGCCGACCAGGTGGGGAGGGGTCTTGACCAGCTGGTTGGGAGAGGGGTCTTGATCAGCTGGTTGGGAGGGTCTGACCAGACCAGCTGGGGGAGGGTCTTGACCAGGTGGTTCGGAGGGGGTCTTGACCAGGTGGGGGAGGGGGTCTTTACCAGTTATAGAAGAGGAACCATAACCAGCTGGGGGGAGGGGGTGAGGGGGTCTTGACCACCTATGGGGAGGTCACCATAACCCTCCCTCACACCTCCATCATAACTTCTTACCTTTGAGGTCTTAGGTTACGTTACGTTACGTTAGGTTACGTTACGTTACGTCAGGTTACTGTAGGTTAGGTTAGGTCATCATTTATTTACCTGTAAGAAAAGTATAAATAGTGAGGGACTTGACACACACTCTAGTTATTTCTTCCACATGAACCCTTAAGTCTGTCGTACCAATATACATAGTGGTGATACATAGACCGTAGTGGTGATACATAGACCGTGGTGGTGATACATAGACCGTGGTGGTGATACATAGACCGTGGTGGTGATACATAGACCGTAGTGGTGATACATAGACCGTGGTGGTGATACATAGACCGTGGTGGTGATACATAGACCGTAGTAGGATATAGACCGTAGTGGCGATACATAGACCGTAGTGGTGATACAGATCGTAGTGGTGATACATAGACCGTAGTGGTGGATACATAGACTGTGGTGATACATAGATCGTGGTGGTGATACATAGACCGTGGTATGATACATAGACCGTAAAAGTGATACATAGACCGTAGTGGTGATACATACACCGTAGTGGTGATACATAGACCGTGGTGGTGATACAGACCGTAGTGGTGATATTTAGACCGTAGTGGTGATACATACAGACCGTGGTGGTGATACATAGACCGTGGTGGTGATACATAGACCGGTGGTGGTGATACATAGACCGTGGTGGTGATGTTTAGACCGTAGTGGTGATACATAGACCGCGGGTGGCGGATACATAGACCGTAGTGGTGATACATAGACCGTGGTGGTGATATATAGACCGTAGTGGTGATATATAGACCGTGGTGGTGATACATAGACCGTGGTGGTGATACAGACCCAGAAAGGGTGATATATTTAGGACCTAGTGGTGATACATAAGACCGCGGGGTGGTGACATAGACCGTAGTGGTGATACATAGACCGTGGTGGTGATACAGACCGTGGTGGTGCTACACAGACCGTAGTGGCGATACATAGACCGTAGTGGTGATATTT